CTCCGTCGTTAACCACCGGCAAAGACTCCTCCTCTTTCCTCACATAGCACAAGAAATCCACCGGCTCCGGCATATGAGGCGGCGTTTCACCACGAATCAAGGCCCAATTCACACCTTCGAAGAATGGATGTTGCTTGATCTCCGTCGCTCCTCGCTTATACGCGATTCTCTTTTGCGGCTCTTTCACCAACAATCCTTTGATCAAATCTTTCGCCGTCGAACTCACCTGAGAATTCTCCGGGAATCTCAGAGGTTGTCCGACGACGTTGTAAAGTGTAGCTTTGTTTCCTTGTCCTTTAAACGGCGTCGCTCCATGGAGTAGCTCGTAGATGAAGATCCCGAACGTCCACCAATCCACGGCGCTTCCGTGACCTTCGTTTCGGATAATCTCCGGAGCTAAATACTCGTGTGTTCCGACAAAAGACATTGACTTCACGTTTGTCGGCTCTGCCATGAGTTCTGGTAATGATCCGTCGATATCGGATTTTGATTTTCGGGTTTTCTTGGAAGATTGGAGGATTCTTGGGAAGAATGATGATGGTTGGTAACATCCTTGGACCGCCGCGTCGTCGTCGATGATTCCGGTGGTGGTGGTTGCGCCGCCGTTGACGTGGACGGAGGAAGATTTGACGAGTGTTGGGTTGACTGAACAACGGAGGGATAAATCGAAGTCGGAGAGCATAATGTGACCGTCGCCTCGGACAAGAACGTTCTCTGGCTTTAGATCGCGATATACGATTCCGAGCATGTGTAAGTACTCTAATGCTAATAACACTTCTGATGCAAAGAACCTGTTTAAGCAACAACAAAACCAAACCTTTAGTTCACGTTTTCAAAATGAAACAAATCGAAGATGAATTAAACCGATTCGATTTCATTTCTTCAACATTTTTTATATTGAACAAATTGAAGTCGAAAAGAAATTATTTGATTTAAAACATTAGGATCCGGTATTTTTTATGCTAAATGCCGGATCCTAATGTTGGAATCAAAACCAACCGCTATTGTACAAAAAAACTATACAGAATCCGTATCGAAGAGGAAATAATTGGTAACAGTTTCATTTTCTGTATCTAGCATAGTGGTTTGTGCTAGTACCGTCGCTGCATCAATACAAATGCATGTAATTTGACCACACAAATAAAGAAGCTACAAAACTTTATTTGTTTAAATACTCTGTTTCTATACTAACCTTGCAGCATAGTGGTTTAAATACTCTGTTTCTATACTAACCTTGCAGCATCTTCAGTGAAACACTTGTTGGGTTGCTTCTGTCTCAAGGAATAAAGGTTGCCACCGCTACAAAACTCCATAACCAAGCAATAGAATTTATCAGTCTCGAAATGAGAGTAAAGAGTAGGCAAGAAAGGGTGATCAAGCTGAGACAAGATCTCTCTCTCCGTTTGAGCTCTCAAAAGCTTGTTCCTGCTCACAAGAGAAGCCTTATCCATCACTTTCATCGCGAAATACGTCGTCTTGTTTGCTCCTTTGAGCTCAACGAGATAAACACTTCCGATATCTCCGTAACCTAACCGTTTCAAAACGCGGAAATCGCCGATCCCGAGCTTGATTCCTCTCGATTTAAGAGAATTCACTGCGTCCCACCTAACATCTCCTCCAGTGTGAGGCTTAGAATGATTATTAGATGATGTGCTTTCGATGCTGTTACTTCGTGAGCTCATGGCTGTTTTGATTAGATGTTCTTCCATTTTCTTAGTCTTTTGATCATCATATTGCTTCTTCATATCTTTGCGTGATTGTTGTTGTTGTTGAGATTTATGGTTTGATGAGCTTGAGGCTGAGTCAAAATGATGACTCCTCTGCACACGCCATAACAAAAGAAAACATTAGGAATAAGATTATGAATTTTACAGCTTATTGTATAAACTTCTTGACACAAGATTCGGAAGCCCTAGTTACACTTATTTTAGATACATGTATATCTAATATGATATGTGTATATCCGTAATGCTCCTAATCATTTATTTTATTTATTCAAAGGATGATAAAATTTATGGGTGTTTTAGTTAAGAGATTACCTCCGGCGAGAGAATCTTGTTTCCGGGTTTGAGCAACATCGCCGGCGAGATCTTCAAGATAAAGTGTCTTTCTTGCTTTCTACGTAGTGAGAAGAAACCAAATTTTTTGTTCTTGTTGTCTTTAAAGCATCGATTTTTGGGTGACTTTTGTTTTTATCATTTAGATTCCGACATTACTTGTTGTCACGAATGTAACAATGCTTCGAAGATAGGTGAGCACGTCGTTGTGATCTTATGTTTTTTTTTTGCTTTTCTTTGAAGGTTCATCAAAAAGATTATTAATATTTAGTCTTCTATGTCTCAAGTCTCCGGGAAATTTTGAGAAAATTTAATTCCAATTCTTTCTTTTTCTTCTTTTTCTTTTCTTAATAGGATAAAAGAGAAAAGCTTGGACTGTATTCCAAAGAAAGTGGGTACGGATGGTGGAAGGAAGAAAAGGTCTTCTCTTGCTTTCTCTGTATTGATATTTGATAGCTTAGAAGTTAATATTTGCCCCATTTATAAAAGTTTGTTTATAATCGGATTAGTAGACTAAAGACTTGGCTTTAGAAATCAGAACATCACCCTGCAATTGCTATTGGATTTAAAAATGTTCTCTTAAATGTCTAGAGTCAATCTCTGAGCAGAAGAGTAATAGTGAGACTCGAGCTCTTTAAGACTAGCCGATGCATCATCGGCTATTCTAGCCAACAATCGATTTGTCTTCTCGGCTTCTTGATCAAACTCTGCAATTCTTTGTTCCACGTGATCGTTAAGCGATGCAAATCCAGAGAAAATCGCGGTTTGCTTCAGCTCCGATACAAGTTTCAAAAGAGAATTAGCTGCTTGAACCTACACCACAATTGATGAAGAAGTCAGTTAACAAACACGATGAGGGCATCGTAAGCTAGCAAAACAAACCCAAGATGAAAACAAAAATGAGATTTGGGAGACTCATTAGTGAATGTTTTAAGAGATTCAAACATTATTACAAATCTGTGAGCTTTGGATCCCTATAGGGTGCCTTAAACCCTATTCCTATGTACTTTCCCTAATTCATATATATACCAATAAGAAATCATTCAACAACACAATGATGAGCTATATCGGATCCCAAATGCTGCCCTAATCCCTAATTGCATTTACCCAAAAATAAATCATTCGAATTTTGTTGATTGAAGTAATCAATTACCATTCTTGATGCTTGCATCTCCATCATGTAAGCTTCCTGTGAGTTCTTCACCGGAGCCGGAGGATCACTCACCTACCAAAACCAAACATGTTAAATTTCCAAACTTTTTGCCATTAAATTTCCGAGAACGGTAATCTTCGATCGAATCTGTATTTCAAGAGATTAAAATTTACGATGGATCCAACGATTTGAACCCAAAAAAAACCCGAAAGAAATCACTTACTCTCACGACATTGACGATTTGTGTGAAGTTATCGACGACAGATGTAATATCAGTGTCTACTCTCTGTAATAACGTCTTTTGCTTCTGTAAAGCAGCAGCGGCTGCGGCGGCCGTTGGTCCGCTTCCTCCACCGGATCCGGCCATACCGGCACCGGAACCACCGCCTTTGTTCATCATCGTCGCTGGTTGGTCCTTGGAGAGGCAACGGAGAAAGTATAAGGAGGAGGACTAAAGTGACAAATGCATAAAACGAAGCCTACTAATTGGGCCTAAATTATTGGGCCAATATATGTATTGGATCCATTTGTATATAATTTATAACTGGAATCCGTGACAAATGCATAAAACAAAGCCTACTTAGTAGAAATGGGGTCGTATCACGCATAGAGTGACGACAGTTCTTTGTGTATTGGATCCAGAGCAAGTTTTCATCAACTTAGCTTATTGCTCTGTCTCCGAACTCCGTCAGTTCTTTGTTCCCGGCACCGATCTCTTCCTCGGAAACGTCTCCGACGTCTTCATTCTCTCCTTTTCATATCCTTTTTGGTACCTTACAATAGTTACATTGGTTTGAAGCTTTTGATCATGACTCTTGTTTTTGCCGCATGTTACACTTGTTCCCTTTGTTTGGTCGGATTTTTTAGTGAACTTAACTGTTTATATACTGGACACGAGAGGATACAAGATGGAACCATTGCTTTGAATGCTGTTCAACGAAGAGATGCTCGAGTTTCTATTGATGATATGGTAACTGTGAGAAGGTAACTGTTTTAAGGTTGTTTGTTGTGGTTGTCTTGCTGTTTTATTTGTTCTTAAAAGATTGACTTGTGTTCTTGTAGATTTGTTCCTCCTGAGAATTTTGACCTGACTTTGTTGGCTCTTGAGTTAGAATTTGTAAGGAAGGGCACTACTAAAAACGAAGAGGTTTGCATTTTTGTTAGATACATTTGTATGGTGTGTTTCTTGTGATCTATGGACATCTATATGTATGATATTACTTTTTATTTTCAGGTTGATGCTTTGCTCCTTTCAACTCAACTCAAGAAGAAATTCATTAATCAGGTAAACGTTTGGAGGATCCTTGGTGTGTATCCGTGCTAAAGTTATGTATTTGGCTCCTAATGTATATGATTTGCATACTTGAGATCATACAATGTCACTAAAAGCATGTAATTGAGAGGCATAATGTTGTCCTTAAAGCTATGCTCCATCAATTTCTCTGTTTATTTGACCTTTTTTTTTGTCTCGCCAATTATAACATTAGCTCTGATTTATTGAAACTTATATATGCATACTTAAATATATGCAGGTCTTGACAGTAGGACAGAGAGCTACATTTGAGTATCATGGAACTAACTACATTTTTACGGTCAACCGAGCGGTGGTTGTAGAGGGTCAAGAACGGTCTGATGGTATCGAAAGAGGGACAATATGTAAAGATACATATTTTGTGTTTGAAACATCAAATGCAAATGGCATAAAGGTCTGGTTTTTGATCAGTCTCTTGGTACTACTACCCGTGTTTGTTTAATCACTTTATCATTCTTTTAAACCTGGTTTGTGTAACTCTGTAATATACGTTTAAAAATTTATGAAACATAATAAATTAGTGTTTTTATAGAATCTTGTATATTTATATATAGTAATTTGATTTTTTTATTTTATTTTTTTAGAACCTATTGAGTATCATCATTGGACACACAAAAATTTGAAAAAATTTAATGAATCTCAAACATTAAATTAATACTAAATTAATGTTGGTGATACTCTAAGAGTATCACCATTAATGATGCTCTTATGTTAATTATTATAAATTATGAAAATATTACATAAATAATTTACAACGGAATATCTACTAGTATTTTGTTATACCTACAAATTTCGGATTTTAAACAGATAAATGGTTGCTCGGATCCATTAGAGTAACTGGCAAGAACTCGGCATTCTGATGTTGAGCCTCTGGTTCCTCTAAGAACATGGTGATGATGGACGCGAAACACTGCATATGTATCGCCTATGGTGAAAGAGTGTATCATACTATCATGTAATAGATTGAAACATGGAAAATATTGCATTCAAGAACAATTGGGTTTCAGCTTTCACCGATGTTCAAGATGAGAATGTGAAATATCACCCTAATATAAATTTTATAATCATCAATACCTCGAAAGTTTGAAGTTCTCATGACCATATGCAATATGCTATTTACGCACCTCACAAGTTTGAAGTTTACTCACAATTTCTTGGGTCTTCTTTTAATATCAATAAGAATATAACTCAACAACTCAAATTCCAGATCCATGACACCAGATATATAAAATACTAAAAAGAACAATAAAAGAATATAGCACTTGTCAAAGGAATAGTTGCGAAAATTTAGGGAGCTAAAACACCAACCATATGCTTATGTTATATTCCTAGTTGTAATGTAATACCAAGTACTAATTGAAAGCATGTGGGGCTTTTTCACCTTCCTGAATTAGAATTCTTGCAACTATTTCCTTTGATAAATGGAAGTCCACATGTGTTTTTATTTTTATTCCCTTTTTATTCTTTTTTATTATATCTGGTGTCATGAATCTGGAATTCCAGCTACCGAGTTATATGTTCTTATTGATTTATTAAAAAGACCATAGAAATATAAAAATGAGACCAACGGCCACTAACAGCACTCAACGAAGTTGCCCCCAAGAATAAAAAGGCAAAATAACAGCCAACAAAGCTAGACAATTTTGAACCAATTGGTCAAATTTTAAATCTGAATCTTTCGTTTAT